ATTGTCTTGTGCACTGTTGATGGTGGACCATCTGTAATTTAATTGCCATGAGCAATTACAATAAAGTCTATTCTATTCTATTCTACTACAAGTGTACCAAATTTCATAACTGTACGATAAACTATGCTTAATGGAGAGGGGTATTTTTCACTTTGTAGGGGGCGCTGTTCAGCCATTTTCTTTGCGATTTTTTGGGACCTTTAAAATATCAAATTTTTCACCAGGCCTGACAAGTTTGCTAAATATTGTGAGTTTCGGGGTATGATAAGGTCCCCAAAAAGCCATTCAAAGCAGGCTAAGAATAATAAATTAAAGCTGCAAGCAGCGTCGTTCGGCCCTCGCAGCTCCGCGCCGCTCTGGCCTGGCCGGCAGCCCGGGGCACGTCCGCGGAAAAGAAACGTCGACCACCCCGACACCAGAAACCGCTAACGGTCACCTCGTCCGTACCTCACCCTGACTCAGCATCCCCTCTGAGCCCACCATTATATTACACGTCTCACCACTAGGGCATACTCTTATCTTGACCACACTGGTGGTGTAATGACACAGACCAACTGTAATGCTTTTCTGACCATGTTTTTTAAAGTTATCAAAAGTTAAAGTTATCTAGGGGGCGCTGTGACCAACTACAGAAAAATCCCATTGAGGTCAGCCTTGGTTGACAAAGACGGTTTTATTTTGGCATCAATCAGACATTGTGTGTGTTATCTAGAGCCATTGAGCTGAAAGGGGCGGAGCTACAGGGATTTGAACCAACAACCACATCAATGTGTTTGGTGCAGTCACGTGATGTCACAAGCCAAGTATAATGCCATTCTGACCTTGTCTTTAGAAGTTAATAAAGTTTGAACCCATCTAGGGGGCGCTGTGACCATTTACAACTAAATCCCATAGAGGTAATCTTTGCTCATCAAAGATGGTTTTCAGTTAATTTGGCATCAATCAAATGTTACATCTAGAGACAAAATGCTGTAAGTGGGCGGAGTTAAAGTGATTTTAACAAGTGAGCACATATATGTGTTGATTGCAGTTACGTGATGACTAAGTTTGATATAGTTTGGAGCGTTTTTGCAGAAGTTACAAAGGTTTTATTGTATCTAGGGGGCACTGCCCATAATTTACGAAATATTCCATGAAGAAAGTTTGTAGGTTGATGACAGTCATTTGTGTCCAGTTTGGTGTGAATTGCATCATGCATCTGTTATTCAGGGCCTAATATCTGTCAGGGGACGGAGCTAAAGCGTTATCAACCAATTACCACAGGATTGTTGGGTGCCTTTGTGTGATGACACATAGCAAGTTTGGTGCAGTTACGACCTCGTTTAGGAGTTATTCCAATTTTAAAGGTATGTAGGGGGCGCTGTGGTGATATTATATAACGTTCGCCAACCGTTTGTGCCTTGTTGGCTAAAGGACATGATTGTTCATTGCCGTGTTCAGTCTCGGGCAAATCGGAGGCCGTTTGTGGAAGTTACAATCAAACGGAAGGTCACGGCGTCACCCCAGAATTCGCCATGGCATCAAATTCCAAATTAATCTCACTCAGTCATGGGGAAAAAAACAACTGAATCTTCCACATTTAGATTCCATATAGATACTAAGAAATGGCCGAACCACTCAGTAAAGCCAAATGAACATTCATCATCTAAATCCCATTTATAAAATAAATTTAGGTGTGTAACAAATATTTTTTTGACTTTATCATGTTTTCTGGAGTCCGAGTTATGAAATGTAGTCAAGATCATACTGTATGCCCCATCAATAAATCAAATATTTGGTCATTGACAAAAATGTACTATTTGATGTGTTCAACAATAAGTCTATTCATTAATTGATTTAAATTTGACCAATATTAAATGTTTCAGTCAGAAGCTACATAACTTTATTTCTCCAGATTCTAAATTGTTGATCAGCTGTGTCAACATTAGCCTAATCTCAACCGGTCCCGAAACATGGGCTGATGTTTACATTCCAAAGAGGACGGATGAACACAAATCAACTGTTCAGCAGCTTCATACTAAATTTCAAAGTGTGCAAACCCCATTTTTAAATTAAAGCATTAACTTATCTTTGTTTTTATATTTTCTTTCAGCAGTTATTTCTCGAAGCCTTTCTGATTTCTGCTTCAGCCTGTTGGCTGATAGAAATTCGTCTTACTTTAGACCAAGGTCTGTTAGGATGTGTACATTTTTCTGATACGACCTTGCTGTTTAACCCAGACACGGAGGAGCATGAAATTCTGTGTCAAAGTATTTCAAAGTTCCCAATCTGGGAATACATGAAGAATTAAAACAATTGAAACTTTTTAAATGCAAATTCCCTACAACCGCTTTAATCTGCTGTCTCATTTTAATTTTACTTCCATACAGTTTCTTCACTTGTTCTGATCATGGTGTCCGCTAATCGGAGATCTGAACAAGTTCCTACATTTGACAGACATCAGGAGATTCAGTTCATGACAACTGATATTTTTTAGTGTTCAAAATGCAGTTTTCGACTTAAACAGGCACTGCATACCAAGTCTGTCACCCGGGTGCGATCGTCATCTGCTGAAAACTCCCTTGTCTTATTTAAAATGTCAGAGACAAAGATAATAAATAAATAAATAAATAAATGAGATAAAATGCAATTTGACTATAGTCACTGGTTTTGTTGGTCTGGGATTACTGTTAACCACACGGTCAATCTCCCAGTCCAGAGGTTTGACAAAAAACCTACATACTTAGCTTTATTGGGCTCTCTTTTACTACCAAGTACTGATAGACAGTCGATTTCTCAAATTGAGGGGTTCCACTGAAACCCTTTTCCTTTCAGCCACCAAAAGTTACACAGTTTATAGTTCAAATTATATTTGTCACCAGAATACCAGGAATTAAATATTTGGCCAGTGTTTCACCCTTTGATGCATGAATTATGAAATCTTCAACCATGATTATTTAACAGTGTTTTTCATTCATCTTCAGGTGTGAATGAAACACATTTCAACTATAATTTCATATAATTTTACTACCTGTCCACCACAGTGGTTTTCTGAACATGAAATATGTTGGCTGGACTTACTGAAGTCCACATAGAGGGGCTCAAATGCAATAAAGTCTTCAACAGGTGTGCTTAATAGCAAAAAAACGAATACATAAACTATGATTTTGAGAACCTGTCCACTGTATTGACCATTTTGCATCAAGGAGTTAATTTTTTCATCTTTATGTTCTAGTTTAAGTTACTTTCAGGCCTCAGTTGATAGGACCTTATTAGCTCAGAGTACAGCAGCTGTTGTTTGGTTTTTTTGAGCCTGGCTGTGCTCTCTCTCTGTTTCACATCTTCAGCCCTTTTTCTCTCCACCGCTCTGTGCTTCCTCGTAAGCATAATACATTTGTGACACGTCAGCGGTTATCAAAATCATGTTTTCCATCATTCCTCTGATAATTTTCAGATCACTTCCGCATTTCCTGGATTTACATTTCTTTCAATGTACAATGTTCACTCAAAAGGTATTTTGTGAGTTCTTATTCCCCCATATAGATACTCTTCTTCGGCATGAGGTCAGATTTAGGCTTACGAATCCGCCCTCCAACTGTGTGTCTAAACTTATCAGCCAACCAGTTTAAATGTCTGACCACCAACTTGAGACGTGTGCAAATGAGTTGAAATATCCTTCTTTCTACAAGAATAAGCAAGTCCAGACACACTCTCAGTCATTCGAACAACAGTTAAAGCAGATAACATCTAAGACAAACAACAACACAGATAACTAGAGCATGTTTCTATTTCTCTGGCAAAATGCTTAAAACCAGGCCAAATACAGACAGCATTCAGAGAATCTGTCAAGAACCATCCTATTCAAGGCGGACGTCACCACTTAATCTCATAGTTACCACACCGGTCTACTTCATTTCTTACACCAGAGTTGCATTTCTAATTTCGGCTAAAATGCAGAAAACCAAGCCAAATACAGACAGCATTCAAAAGAACCCGTCAAAACCATTTTATTCACGGCGGACGACACCAAGTTTTTATCTCTGGTCACCTAGGATTTTCTCTCTGTACCACAAAGACAAAACAAATGAACAACAAACTTGTCTCCCCAAATCTCTCCACTTCAGGGCTTGAGTTTGTGGATGCGCATTCCTCCTAGCGACATCAAGACCCCCACCGAACCCCCCCAGCAAAACTCAGCGCTGGAGGAGATTTAGGTTGTCGACAGTCCTCCGGCGTCTGTTCTTGACGCCGCGAGGTGACGGGACCCCGGCTCTTGAAGGACCAAATTATGTCATGGATTTTATCAATATGTTTATCAATAAACAATTTCCTGGAGTCGAAGAGAAAAGGGACAAGAAACAATGAGGCAGACAAACAACAAATCATGATGCCCAGAACATCTGGTCACAGACTTTATTTAAAGGAAAAGATAAGAAAGCAATGGAAGTGGATCATGTGTGAGAGAGTGTGTGTGTATGGGAGGACAAGAGTGTGTGTGTGTGTGTGTGTGTGTGTGTGTGTGTGTGTGTGTGTGTGTGTGTGTGTGTGTGTGTGTGTGAGAGAATGTTTTCAGGACATTCAGTTAATAGATCTGTTAATAGGACTAAAGTAATGAAATATAAAACTTCCATAACAACCTTTCACTTATAAATCCATCATTTGTTTAGTTTATATATATAATTTTTTTACTTTATTTTTTGAATAAAAGGGGCTCAGAAGTAAATATTCTTTTTCATCATTTTAAATAAATTAATAGATCGGATTTATTCTGGCAGAATTAATCTGTATGAGCAATCCTGGTTGTTGGTGTGGTTTTTGTGTTCTTAGTTTTTTGTGGTTTCTAAGAAGAAGAATTAGTGTTCAGACTGCTAAAGAAATGTGCACAAATATCTTCTAAATTTGATTTGAGGAGGTCAAATGTGAACACACTCACAGCTGGCTCACTCGGTCAATTGGATGTTGCCACAGACTTAACAAGTCCTGCTGTTTTCTCTCATTTCGCCCAACTGATTCCCATTAAGGCATGCAAAGTCGTTGGTGGAGCCACTGGCCTCATTCCCAGTCAGTTCTTGGAGGAGAAGAGAAAAGCTTTTGTGAGAAGAGACCGGGACGCTGCTGGTACAGGTCAGCTCCATCCTATCATAGTCTTTGTTTCTCTAAACAACAGCCGGTATTGTTGAGGCTAACTTTCATCAGGGACAACCGCCTCTCAACACTAACGTGCATGGGTGTGACGGACCAAAAATCTCACGGATCGGATCATACCGCGGTTTTCAGTCACGGATCGGATCGTTTTTTGGATCAGCAGAAAGAAAAGGAAAAACAAATAGCTTTGCTTTCTCTGTTTATTTTCTAAAACACTTAGTGCAATTTTTTCTGCTATAAAAGCAGAAGTTACAGAGAGGTCCGATTGCTGATTAAATGTTACAACGGTTGGCCCTATAAAACACTCTCGCTTCGTGTCCAGCTTTCACTCATCTCCTCACCTTTCTGATGCTCTATCTATTTTTCTTTTGTTCTCTTTTACAGATGTGTCCTCAACAATATTTACAGGTCCCACCATGTTTATGTCCAAGGCATGTTTCACGCACCACGCCGCGCCGTCAGACTTCAGACGTGTGCGTGTGTTAATCACTGTATTTTACAGGGACGCCTAAATGCTCCCATACATGCAACCTAAACAATGCAGGTGGTTTTTCAAGCTCCTCTCCTCCTCCGCCATCACCACCGCTGCGCGTTTCTCCTTTGGATTGAAACCTCCGCCTTCCACGTGACTGATCCGCAAACCGCGTGTGTGCTGAACCGTAGCGAGAGATCCGTACGGATCACGGATCAACGATGATCCGTTGCACCCCTACTAACTTGTAGCGTTCTCACACCATGTCTGTGTCTCAGGGATACTCTGTGGACGTCTGACAGGAAAGAAAAAAAAGAAAAAAATGATGTACCTCACTGCCAAAAATGCAGGTGTGTGTGTGTGTGTGTGTGTGTGTGTGTGTGTGTATGTGTATGTGTATGTGTATGTGTGTGTGTGTGTGTGTGTGTGTGTGTGTGTGTGTGTGTGTGTGTGACTGCTCTTTGATTACTTAGGGATCAGTGACTTTATGTTTCTAATCCAGCCTGTGTTGCCTTGACCAGAGTTTGATCGTTATGAGCTGCAGATCTACGAGGAAGTAGCCAGAATGCCTCCATTCCAAAGGAAAACACTGGTTCTGATAGGAGCTCAGGGAGTCGGGAGGAGGAGCCTGAAAAACAGACTTATTGTTCTGAATCCTTTCAGATATGGAACCACTGTCCCCTGTGAGTGTTTCAGACTGGACCGAGGGAATGCTTCACACTTGTAAGGTTTTTCGACCAAAGGGATTTCACTGCTAGACCAGGGCTGGTGCTAAAGCATGTCCTTAATGTTTTTTTCAAACATGAACACATTCAGATGGGTAAAGGGAAACCATTATAGAACAGTTTTAAGTCTCTGAGTCCACCTGTCCTTGATGAAAACATCTTTTCCTCTGGCCCAGCTGAGATAACCTGTTTTTGTTGGTAGAGGTGAGAGCTTTTGGTGTTGAAAATAGAAACAGTTCTGGTTTATCACTGAAACCTTTTTGGTGGGAAAAAAAACATTTTTTCTGATGAGTTTAAGTCTTGAGTGATTTTCTTCTTGTAGTTACGTCCCGCCATCCTCGAGAAGAGGAGAAAGATGGACAAAACTACTGTTTTGTGACACGAGAAGAAATGGAAAAGGACATAAAAGAGAGTCGATACCTGGAGCATGGCGAGTACGACGGAAACCTCTATGGCACCAAGATCAACTCTATCCACGAAGTGGTGGAAGCTGGTCGTATGTGCATCCTAGACATCAACCCTCAGGTCAGTCCAAGGAGCTCCGTCAATGTGCAGAGCTGATTTTTTTTTCCTGAAGCTTTGATGACGACATTATAGTTGGTCCTCAGGCCCTGAAAGTGTTAAAGACTGCTGAGTTCATGCCATTTGTGGTGTTTATCGCTGCTCCTGATTTGGACACACTAAGAGATATGCACAAAGCTGTGGTTGACGCTGGCCTTACTACCAAACTACTCACGGTAAGGAAATGAAAAGTCCCCCAGTGACTTCTTTACGGTCGTTGATTGGTCATGCTGATGTGTGGGCTCTGCTCTGTTCTAGGAGACTGATTTAAAGAAGACCGTAGATGAGAGTGCCAGGATCCGCCGGGCGTACAGCCACTACTTTGACCTGACTATTGTCAACGACAATCTGGACAAAGCTTTTGACGTGCTACAGGACACCGTAGAGCAATTATTAGTAGAGCCTCAGTGGGTTCCAGTCAGCTGGGTCTACTGAAGCTCTACGGGACAGATGTGCTTTAACACCGTGGCACGGTTTCAGACAGCATCCCTAAGTTGTCCCTGTTTCGTACAGACAAAGCTGCATCGGTCACCTTAATCTGCATTGCCATTTTTCTTTCAAGCACACTATGCAAATCTCAACACACAGGAAGTGTACTTATTTATTGCCAAAATATTTTTAAAGAATATTTTTATTTTATTATATTAGGAGGAATAATACTGACCCTTGTGTCTGGTTGTAGGTGATTTTTAGCCGCATTAACTTTCACATCTGTATGCTAGGTTGTATTTTTTTTGCAGAATGAGGGCTATCTAAAAAGAAATAATAAATAAAACTAAAGGATACAATGTGATACCTCAGTGTAAAGTTTACAGTGTGCAAGTGTCCACTGCTTTAAGTCCTTTATAGGGAGCCTAAGTCATGCACATCTTCTTCCGGACCACGGGTCCCCAAAAGAACGAAATAATGAATGCAAAATTGGTGGGGCTAAAAACGTTATTTTCTGATGCCGCGCGTTATGTACCATGGATTTCACATATGATGTCCGTGAATTTTAAATATGCATTTTGATACCAAGAAAGTGCTTATCTTTGAACGAGGGGAAACTTTATTTTAGGTTTAATGTGAAAATCTGTCTAGGACTACAAATGCGCATCACCAAAGGGACGTCATCAAACCAGACACGGAGAAGAGCAGAGGGAAAATGGCTGTAAATTCAGCAAACTTCAAATCCTACCTTGAGAAGGAAAGAACAACCCAAAATATGGCCATTTGGTAAGTAGCAGCTACGCTAGGGAAGAGGTGCCTAGCGTAGCGTGTCTGTGCAAAGTGCTGATGTCTGATTTGTAGTTAAGTTAGTAACAAACTTTTGCAAGTTGATAAATCTCAAAGTACGTGACTTGTGTGGTCGAAACACGCTTGATTAATTTTCATTTAAATGGAAATATAACAAATGTGCAATCCAGGGCGTAAGGCTACACGGATTGGAAAATAACTCTTTTTAGCCCCATTGACTTACATTTATTTATTTTTTGTTCATCCGGGGACCAATGAGCTGACTGGAAAGGGAGGAGCCTAACCCCAGTGCAAACTGGAAGCAAAAGCGGCGCGGAACGGCACAGCTTCAAATAGAATCCATTATAGTATATGGAGAGTAACAAAGCAGCCGTGACGCAGCAATTTTCGCACGCGTCCCAGAAGTGGCACGCCGCTAAAGATAGGATCAGGTTCTGTTTTTTTCCTTGAGCCGCTTCTTTGATTTGTTAATTGCCGCAGGGCTAGACAGGAAATCGCACATGGTTTCAGTGTAAAATCCCTGGAAAATTTCAATGTAAAAGTATTGCAGCGATGCTATTTCATATATATGAAGCTTACGTGTCACCTAATGGCTTATTTACTCACACCATCGTTCCATAAGTGCAGCGGTGTGTGTTTCATGGCTTTAGTCCTGGCAGTGGAGAGGAACAACAGCAATCTAAAACATAATTTCCTTTTTGTTTAATGGTGGATTGCATAAACAAACTGTACCCTTTGAAGTCTTGAGGGATCATGTGATCTTGCGAGGAGTTTGGCGGATGTCTCGAGGCCTTTTGTTATATTGTGAGTCGAGCGAGGGTCATGGCTGAGGAGCCGCTTTGCTGCTGAGATTCTCCCGGTGTGCACTTAAGTGCTGTGATTGTCGCCAGTAAACAGTTCCGCTGCCGTTCCACGCTGCTTTTGTTTCCAGTGTGCAGTTGGCATTAGGCTCCCTATTGCTAAATCCTGATCTAATTCTCCCCTTCTTTTGATTTCAACATAATGAATAACATGGTTTTTGCACAAGGGGAGCTATACTGTAATGTATTACCAGTGCTCACAGGAGCACCAAAAAATATTCCTGCTTTTTGACATATGCAACATGTACATGTTTGACAGTTAGACCCGTGGATTTGGTGCTGTGTTTGTGTTAACAAGAAAGAAAATTAATTCCTGTGATTCCTGAACAGGGTACTTCATCTCAGCAAACGATCCCTTTTGATGTGATATTACTAAAACGTAAATGTTTTGAATGAAGTTCATATTTACTTAATAAAAGGTATTTTTTGGAAGACTTCAGATTAAATGTGTTTTCAGATGTTTAATAAATAACTAGTGTTTTCTTATAAGATGCTGCTTTGTATTTTATATTTATCTCATTTGTAAAAATGTTAAATGAGTTTTTGGTTGAGACAAAAAAAAGTTTTCCATATTAAAGGTGTATGAAGTGATGATCAGTATGTTAGAGCGATCACAAATCATTTTCTCTGGAATTAGGAAGTATGGAGTTGGGGCAGATTGTAAACAAGGACTGCATCCCTCTTTGGCCTTTTTAAAAGAAAAACCAATGACTGTAAAAAAGATGGACAAACCCCAGTCATTGCTTTTCTGTGTGGCTCTTCTAAAGTAAAATGGGTGGTTCCGATCGCTGCCACCTTGGCCGTGTCACAGGTCTTGTTATGCCCAGATAGTCCAAAAATGGGAAAAGAGGTGGAGCTGTGAAGGTGGGAGCAAATGATTGACACGTATAAACTGAATCAATGCAGCTACGAACCTGAAGTTATACGGAGCTTGGAGCCAGCGGGGGTAGCTACCAACTACTTGAACTAACCCAAAGCTAAAAGAGGTTCTAAGGCCCTTTTAGCCAGAAAAACTTGGTTGAGCGACTCAAAAGGGAAGCATGCATCAATTCAAAGAGCTCCGGTGTTTCTTTGGTCTCCCTCAAAGAGCTCTAATAGGCAGCTAGGACAACTAAAACCTTGCATAAGAGTTGGGCGAATCTGGTAGCCGCGCGACTTGGCTGATGGGAGATGGGAGGAGCCAGCCTACTGTGCCTAGTGGCTCTTTCCAGTCAGGAGCCTTGAGAAGCTGTGCACCTGCTCCCCTCGGCTGAAGTGGCAAATTTGCAGATCTCTCATTTGCACGGCTGCCGCTGCTGAATGGAGAGAAACAAATACTCTGTAATTCTCCCTTCTGCAGCAGCAATCTCGTGGCTCTTTGACCGCGGTGGACCAGCGAAGCCTGTAAACTTCCAGTAGCATCGGCCTACCAGTGGAGGCTCGTCCATAGGGGGCACTAGGGTGCACCCCACCAGTCTCATAGGAAGAAAAAGAAGAGCATAGGAATCCCAGCGCCCGTGCAGACATAGGCGTCATTTTAACCGGGGACGCCGGGGACATGTCCCCGGCAAAATTTGTGATTGGCAGCTGTGTCCCCCCCACTTTCAAAAACGCCTGCTGATGAGGATTTTTGTTTTACCAGCTCAGATCTTATCCAGGGGTCGGCAACCTGTTCCCATCAAAGAACCATTATTACCCGTTTCCCACGGTAATTTTGGACGGACCTTAATAAGCAATGACTTAAGTGAAGCAGGCAGGTCGCACTAGAAAATTTCGTTTAAAAGACGTCATAAATGTGTTCCCCCGTCATTTTTATTACTAAAATATGAAGTAAAAACTCACAATTTAATTTTCATTCATTTGTCATTAATATGTAGTCTACACCTGTGCGTTAAGTGGACCATCTTCCAGTAAAAGCAAAGCATCCAGTCCACCTCTCCAAATGCGTAAAATGTGCATCAGCCGCTAGTTAGGCGTGCGCGCACCATCAGCTGATCGGCCCAGACAAGAGCAGAGCAAATAGAGAAAGACTAGAGGATAATTGTGTCTGGATGTGGATGGAGATTACATTTTACAGCAGCCTGATCATCATTTAAATACGTAAACCATCACCTGTCTACTAGTCCACGCTATCAGCATTATTTAAATTTTAATTGGTGTGTGTGTGTGTGTGTGTGTGTGAGTGAGTGAGTGAGTGAGTGAGTGAGTGAGTGTGTGTGTGTGTGTGTGTGTGTGTGTGTGTGTGTTTTCCACTTCAAACACTGGTCTAACCAACCAGACCAGCGTGTCCAGTAACATATTAATGTTACAATTAAACAGTTTCACTTCATTTAGGCTAGGAACGTTTCATCTGCCGTGGCCCGACCGCTTCTGCTCCACATGAACTTTGTGCGTGATCAAATGTCTCTACGCTTCATGCGGAACTAGACGGGAACAAGCGCTGTTCAGCCAAAGTTTCATAATTTCATAAAAAGAACATTTTCCAAGTGACACATCCCTCAGAGAGACCGGGTTTCCAGAACGCTTCAGTGGGAGGAAATCATCGCATGCGCGTGGTTCTGCACTGCGCTGCACTGCGAACCCCAGATCTTCAGCTCACTGTCCACCGTGGGCGCTCCGAGCCGCGCTGAACACAGTTCCAGTATAAAGAGCTCTGATGTTCTGATGGGAATATTTTACCTCCGCGTGTGCGTTAACGATTAAAATGTCAGCTCATCCATGAGCATCCGTGTGCGTCGGGGTAATTTTTTCAAACCAAGCAACATCCTTGAGTTCATCTGTCAAAATAAACAGTCAAATGGAAATATATGTAACCTGCCGTTTAACTGTTTTGCCTTCCTGTGAAGATTGTTGCAAAGAGAAACAATTAAACTTGATTAACCCTAGAGCCACGCAGAGAACCATGCAGAGCGCATGCGGGAAGATTCCTCCCACTGAAGCGAGTGTTTTCCAAACCCCGTCTCTCAGAGAGACTTGTCACTTAGAAAATGTTCCCTGATTATGAAACTTTGGCTGAATAGCGCTTGTTCCTGGCTCCAATGTGGCGACACATCCAGGAGCCGTCTGAGGAGATCCCAGAATCTCACATCCTCTTCAGCTCATAAAGTGCCTATATGATTACGCACAAGCGTGACCGGTCAACCACCGCAGACCGGGTTGGACCTGTTCAGGTTTACGCAGACAATCTTTACATTTAGAATTGGCATACAGGTGTAAAATTAATGCAGTAAAATATAAAGCATTTTATTTAAATATCCATTCATTATTTTACAAACACAGAGAGTTGCATCAGATGGATGGAAGAGCCGCATGCGGCTCCAGAGCCGCGGATTGCCGACCCCTGTGCTAGCCTACTTTATTGTCCCCAGCAATTTTTAAACCCCACTCAAGTGTATGGTTATTGTCCCCAGCAATTCTGAAAACAAACTGACGCCCTTGCGTGCAGAAGACCGGCAGGGCAGAGTCTCAGTTCAGTTCTGGACAGAACCAGATATTCTCCACAGTTCACCGTCCTGTGTTGCTGTTGCAGTGCAGCTGAGTACACCTCGTGGAGGTTTGTTATGAAGAACTGGAAAATGATGGAATGTGGCATCAGAGACTTTTGAACACTCCTGCATGTAAAAAAGTGAATTTTTTTTTTTACTATAACACAGATTATTACAACCTTAAACTGGCAAAGGTAAGACCGAGTTAATGCTTTTAACTTCATGTAATTAGCTTGCTTTGTTTTTTATACCGAGTTTGCTTGATGCATAAGAATGGTGATTTGGCATTCCCTGGTGGTGATAAGTGGATAGTGCATCTGAAATCAGCCCAGTCGTCACACCTGCAGTTTACACACCTAATTAGAATTTCATTCGTTGCATTGTAACCTTCCTTTCAACATGATTGACACATCTGTTTAGTGATTATTTTACTGTAAAATTCTTCCTTATTGTGCCTTCAGGGGTATTTACTGCTATTAATGCAGAGAAATAATCAATGCTCAAACTATTAATAGCACTTTATTAAGCTGCTTTCCAAGGCAATCCATTCTAAAGTCAATTGAACACAAACTTTTTAGATTTATAAGAAAATCCAGGGTTCTTTATATTTACAATTAGACTTTTGAACAGAAATTAATTTGAGACAAAACTCAATGTTTCTCCAATTTATATTGGTCTTAAAACATGAAATTAACACAAAGTAGAGAATTTAAAAAAAACTAAACATTAAGAAGCATGAAATAAAGTGCTCTCTAAAATGTGGAATGGAAAATTTGGACAAAAGTTTACATTTTCAGCCAGCAAAGCTTTTGATTTTAAATTCAGAAAATCCAACACATACAAACTCTTTCAATGTGATTACCTGATTTTTAAAATGCTGTTTCTGACACCTATAATGTACATTTCAGACCCTGTGGGAGAACTTGCAAAATCGTTCAAATTCTTACGTTCCTCACTGTAAGTGGGCGTTCCCTCTGAGAATTATATTTGGAGTATTTCAGACTAAACAATGACGAGAACAAAACGTATGTATTCAGTTTTAGACTGTTCTCAAATGTGCCTGATCAGCACCCGTGCATACGGAGGCTTCCGGACAACCTTGGGTCAACGAAGCAAGACACCGAATGGTGATGCACAGAACCAGAGGAAGGTTACTTTGTTGATGGATTTCTGCCCGCACCACGTTGCTTTCTCTCTTCAGGGACACGTGGAATGATGCAAACAGATGTTCGATTGTCTCATAAAGATCTGTCAGATCAGAGCTGCTCAGAGTCATCTCTCTACCTCCTGATACACACTGCACCTATGAAAGACGAGAGGCAGGCAGCTGAGTTTAAGTGCTTACGTTTAAAAATAGCCGTTCAACAGGCTGCTCTGTTAAATTAGGTAAAAAATAAAATCACTGACCAGCGGCTCCAGAGTCCGTAAAGCCATGGGGATGCTGCATTTCCTCAGGGCAGCCAGATGATCCTCTGTCATCTCTGAAAGACAATCCAAAGGGAATTGGGTTTTTGGATCTGTTAGAAATTATACAACTCATTGCATTTCTGCTTCAAACTTTAAAAATCTTCCCAGACAAAACATTTAAAGAGAAAAAATCACCATCCAAAGCACTGATCATGAGATGCAGCGCTGTGAGGGCTGATTTCATCCGACTCGACTCCACTTCACTAGAAAGCTCCAACAGGTCAAGAACATTTTGGATTTTCCCACGATGAGATTCTGTCAAGTCAAAATCAGCCAGCCCAGGCTTCTTATCCACAAACATCTGGTCCAGCTAAAATAGAAAAAGGTATTTATACTCCTTGTTTGACTCCACTTTTTCAATGACGAGACCCTCTGTGTCCCACTTACAACGGTCTGAAACCCACCGATGGCCCCAGGCTGCTCCATGAGCTCTGAGATCTGCTGTAGCAGAGAGGACCTGGTGGACGGTGGGAGAGCTGAAAGCAGCTGGAAATGACCTCTTAGGTCCTCCAGCTCTAGGGTTTGAAAAGTGTGACACAAAATTAACACATTATGAAAACTCAAGCTCGCACAGAAATGTAAAAATGACAAAGGCTTAAAATACTCGGGATAGCTGATTGGAACAAAAATGCTAGCTTGGCCTGCCAGACTCATCCTCTGATTAATTCTGCACAGAGAAAGAGTCTGGTTCTCACAGGCAGAGGCACATGAGGGGCGGGATTAGCCAGCTCAGAAATAACCAATCAGAAGAAAGACGGACATGCCGACTGTACTGCGCAAACGTTGTAGTTGTTTAGCTGTAGAAAAAAAAGGAGTCTGGCGACGGTGCACACATCTTCCTGTAGAAGAAAGGCTTTCAATTCATGTTTATTTATATAGCGCCAAATCACGACAAGAGTCGTCTCAAGGCACTTCACATAATAAACATTCCAATACAGGTCAGTTCATTAAGCCAATCAGAAATAATGTTTCCTATATAAGGAACCCAGCAAATTACATCGAGTCACTGACTAGTGTCAGTGACTATACCGCAATCTTCATACTAAGCAAGCATGCAGCGACAGTGGAGAGGAAAACTCCCTTTTAACAGGAAGGAACCTCCAGAGGATCCTGGCTCAGTATAAGCAGCCATCCTCCACGACTCACTGGGGATCGAGAAGACAGCAGACACACACACGCACACGCACACACACACAAACACACACACACACACACAATAATGTGTCTATAGTTATATTGTGATGTCTTAGTAAATATTGTATTTGGTGAGAGATAAACTTTATTGTATTCATCCTAGTGAATCTATAATTAAACGGGTAAACTAGTAGTAGCACATCCAACGTCAAAGAGAGGAAAAAGTTATCAGGAGAGGGAGAATGTTTAAGTGGTTAGCAGCAGTGTGCTGGTCGATGGCCCCCTCCATGAGGCCACCACAGCTCAGCAGAACGTCGTTGTAGCTTCTTCTGGGGAGAAAAACACTTACAGAGCGCTTCTACTTGTTGTTTTAAAGACGTGTCCAAGTCACTTAGAACAGAGGAAAGAGCCGCAGCGACCTCTGCTTCAGTCGCCATGTTTATGACTAACTCGGCGTTGTGTGTGACGTACGCTACTCAGCGCTGATTGGCTCTGTTAGAATTCTCAGGGGGCGGGGTTATTGAATAGGAGAGTTCCCAGACCCTAAACAGAGGAGTCGTCTGGCAGGCCAGGCTACAAAAATGCACCTTGAATAAAAGAAATGGACCAGACTTTTACAGCTAAGTTAAAGGAGATGGGAGCATATCCTAAAAGGTAGCATCATTTACGTTGTTGAAGAACGTGGTTCCCTGAAGTCTTGACAGCAGCTCCTGCCACACCCACCAGGTCTTTTGCCATGCCGTCCACTTCAAAACCTCCATTGGTGTCTGACATCAGACACAGCTCTGTAAAGAAAACACAACATCTTAAAAAGTTAGCAACATTTATTCTACCTATTTAGCATTGTGAGAGAGGACTGTCTCACCAAAGTGTCCATCCTGTTTGATCGCTAACTCTATAAGGCCATAGGCTATTGTAGTGTGGGTAGGAATCTCCATGGTAACGTTGCTGTCTTTGTTCAAATTCCCATTTTCCTTCAGTGAAGCCTTTAAAAAACAACAACAGTGCAGCAACATGTCGACACAAAACCAAAAAAATAACATAAAGGAGACTGAAATGTTTTGTAGTTGGCAGTAAATTGTTTTTTGTGCAAGTAATAAATTGTATTTTTTTAGATGAAAATATGTCCTATTCCCACTTCTTAGTGATGGTTGGTTCAGACATCATGCAGAAGTGAAGCTAGCTTTAGCAACAGTTGTAGAACAGGTGGTAAACAAAAACGAATCCATAAATGTTCCAGTTTATAGTCGGTGCAAAAAAACACACCTAAAGCAGAAAATAACATTCTTGCGTTGTTAAAATAACAACATTTTGAATATCGATGTAAAGTGATGGTTTTGTGCAGCTGTACCAATTTATGGCTCTTGGGGCCGCAGGAGGTCAGCCCCCCTCCACACTGTCCACCCTGCTGTACCTCCTCTATGACTGAACATGGCTGAGTGACCACAATGCGCTCCTTCACGATCCCAAACACCTGTCTGTGCTTCTCCTTTGTCTGCTGGATCAGCCAGTGGGACATGTCCAGGACACTGGAGCAAAAATTTCCAAAACATCGGTAAGAATATTCGTAAAAACCCTTAATTTGAAATAAACATACGTCTAATCTACCAGTCTGTGAATTCTGCTGAATATTCAGTTTTACATAAAGCCGTAAAATGATAGAAAACACATTTAGAGACTGGCTGCAACCTTTTGTTGTTAATAATCAACTAGGCCTTGTGTTGGTGTGAAACTTTATGGTTGAACAAAGATCGCTCCTGCAGTAGATGACGTTTAGTGTCCTATCTGTGGGCGATCACAGGTGACTCAGGTGGGGACACCAACCTGTCTTTGCAGTCTAGCAGTAACTTTTGCACTTCCACTTCCTCTTTCTTCAAACTCCCAAAAGACGACTGGAGTTTGGAGGAGTCTTTCCCCTCCACACTGATGGTGACCTTTGCAAAGCTGGCGTCCACAGTCCCCTGGATGTTGTCGCCATACGTCCCACTGTATTTGATGAAGTCACTTTCCACCACAACTGAGTAAAAAGTTAGTCAGATAGTTCTTCTGTGATCTTATCTGGATTCTTTACATTTTAAACATATTAAAGGAGAGGAGACCACGTGATTAGGATCAGGAGTGCACCTACCTGGCTTTACAGGTGCGTCTCCTTTCAGTAAGTCCCCGAGGACAAAATCAGTAGGATGATATTTGGGTTTCTGCCAGAACCAGAAGCGTTTACGTTTCACTACCACCGTTAAAAGTCCAACAGCGTCGTTCAAGCTGGATGCTGGGATCAGAAAACCTCCCTTATCCACCTCCGCCACAAAGTTTTTAGTAGCTACGGCGAACATTTCCCAAATCTGGGAGAAAGTAAACCGGTTAGAAGATACACATGAAAACAAGCAGCTTACTTACAAACCAGCCACTCTCTCCTGAGGCTGAACACCAGCAGCTCCAGCTCACACTTCTGCTTTCTGCTCACTAATGCAGCTTAAAGCAGTTCAAAGAAACCAAAAGCAAACACGTACCTGGACGTGAGTCTACTGTACCGCCAAATACGCACAGAAGCTGAAACTTTTTTTTGTTAACGGACAATACTAACAAGCTAATTCTCATTTTCTTCTTTTGTTTTGAACAAGCGACTAGTTGAGGCC